TCCTCCTCCTCCTCCTCCTCCTCCTCCTCCTCCTTCTCCTTCTTCTTCTTCTTTGTGGGGTTGGGGTCGGGGGGTAGTGGTCCTGGAAGGGCATACATGGGAGACTGGGAAGTGAATGGGATTGGGATGCATGATGTAAAACTCCCAAATAATCAATAAAAATACTATGTTAACAAAATTAAAAAACTCTGGGATTCTGTGAAAAGACATAGCCTCTTCAGCAAAGACACAACAGTAGAAATCCAGATCAAAGTCATAAAATATTTTCAACCAAAAACAGAAGAAAATTGCCCAAATATAAGGAAAGACATTCATATTCAGCTGAGGAGGCATGAAGAACAACAAACAGACAAGACCAGAAAAGACGTCCCACGTTTTATATAAGTCAAGATAATAAATGTACTGAACAAATAAAGAATAGTTGACAGCTGTAAAATATTTTCATTACATGGAACATTGTACCAATATATACAATTACTGTCCACTAGCCCAGTTCTACAGGACCAACTAGAAGGAAAAATTCAGTCTGAGGAGGTTAACTACACCAATAAGTACAAAGGATGAATAATTCCTGAACAGTAAATAAAAAATAGGGGGAGTCTCCCACCACCACAAATAAAGAATAGGAATCAATAAACACTGCTCAATAATACTCACAATATTAGTGGTCTCAATTCTTCAATCAATAGATGCAGACTAGTCAATGTGATAGCATAATAGGACCTAGAATCTCATCTGCAGCCCTGTAGGAGACCACTTTCATGAACCTGTCCTCCCTTTCTGACTCTGCTCTCTAGAGACCCCACTGAACTTCATGAAAGAATCATCTTTCCTCCTATAGTGGACACGTTCAGCCCTTCTCCCTACTAACATCATTATTCCTCCCTGTCAGTGCTGATTACTCAGAATCACTTTCTCCCTGGAAATCCAGTGACCACACCTATAAGGGAAGGCCTACCAAGTAAGACAAGCCTCCACATGTTCCTAAGTTCTAGAGAAGGTAACAGAAAGAATGTAACATCCACACTAGACAAGACACAATACTAGCACCTAAAATAACAACTAACCCAAATCCAGATGCCTTGACACCAGCACAAAAGACAATAATTAACACCCAAGACAGTGTCTCCACCAGAAGCCAGAAACATGACTACAGGTGCCCTGAGAAATGTAATAAAGCTGAAGCACAAGACAGAAACTTCAAATTAGCTATTATGAATATGTTCAGGGACCTTAAGGAGGACAGGAATTAATCCCTTAGTGAAGTCTGTGAAAGCACAAACAAACAGTGGAATGAAATGATGAAAACAGTTCAAGATATGAAAGCTAAAAAATCACTAAAGAAAACTCAAACCAAGGTAAAACTAAAAATGAGAATTTTAGGAAGTGAAAAACAAAACCTCAGAGGTAAGCTTCATTAACAGAGTACAAAGGATAAAAGAGAGAATATCAGGCATTGAAAACAAGACAGAAGAAATGGATACCTCAGTTAAAGAAAATGTTAAATCTTTAAATCTTTAAAAAAAAAAACAGGACAAATCAACCATGAAATCTGGGGTATTGTGAAAAGACCATATCTACAAATAATAGAAACAGAGGGAGGGGAAAAACAGGTAAAGACACAGAGAATATTTTAACCATATCAGAAAGAAAAAAACCCTAACCTGATGTTGAAGATACCTATTAAGCTACAAAAGCATACAGAATATCAAATAGACTGGTACAGAAAATAAATCCCCCATGACAGGAAATGATGACAACATTAAAGGTATAGAACCAACAAAGAATATTAAAAGCTGACAGGAAAAAGAACAAACAACATAATAAAGGCAGAACCATTTGAATAACCCCTGATTTATTAATGGAGACTCTAAAAGCCAGAAGGGCCTGAACAGACATTATACAAAAACTACAAAAGACCATAGATACCAATGAAGACTTCTATACCCAGCAAAACTTTCAATCACCATAAATGGAGAAAGAAAATCATTCTATGGTGAAACAAAATTCAAGTATTATTTATATGCAGATACAGCTGTATCAAAGTTTCTAGATGAAAAATTTATTCCTGAAGAGGCTAACTACACCACAGAAAACACAAGGAATAAATAATCTAAGAGAATAAAATCAAAATAGGTGAAAAAAATCCACACTATAACAAAAATAATGGGAATCAATAAATGCTGCTTCTTTGACAACTTTTAACATCAATATGCTCTCAATTTCCCAATAAGATGACACAAACTACAAAGTGGATGTGAAAACATGATCCATCCTTCTGCTGCATCCAAGAAACACACCTTAATATCAAGGATAGATATCACCTCAGGTAAAAGGGTAGAAAAAGATTTCCCAAGCAAATAGACCTAAGAAGCAAGCCCACTTTAATACCTGACAAATAGACTTCAAACCAAGCATAATCAGAATAGGAAAGGAAGCTACATTGTCTTCAATGGGAAAATCCAACAAGAGGCTATTACAATTCTAAAGACAAGGACACTCAACTTCATAAAATAAACACTACTACAGCTAAAACCACAGATTGAACCTAACATAATGAGAGATGCTCACTTCAATATCCTACTTTCCCAACAAAAGGGTCATCCAGACAAAACAAAACAGAATAATCAGCGTTCTGTAACATCTACAAAACATTCTATTTGAACATTGAAGAATATACTTTCTTCTCAGCAGCACATGAACTGTTATTTCAAATAGACAGCATATTAGGATACAAAGCATGTCTTAAAAGACATAGAAAAATTGAAATAACAACGTACATCTTACATGACTACTATGGATTAAAACCTGATATCAACAGAAAATACATAAACTAATGGAAACTGAAAACTGGGACAAACAAGAAAGTTTGACAAATCATTCACCTAATTAATCAAAAGATGGAGAGAGAATATTCAAGTTAATAAAACAGGAGATAAAGCAAAAAAATACAACAGATACCAAGGAAATTCACAGAACCATGAGGACATACTTTAAAAGATTGTATTCCATAAAACTAAATTTTAAAAAAGAAACTTAAAGAAATGGATGAATTTTTTCATTTATCTGACCTACCAAAGTTAAATCAACATGAATAATCCATTTAAATAGCTCTATAATACCTAACAGAACATAAATAGTAATAAAAAGTTCATGCTGCCCAAGAAAAGTCTGGGCCAGATGATTGAGAATGGAATTGTACCAGACTTTCAAAAACAGATAACATCAATATTCCTCAATTATCCCTCAGAATAGAAATAAAAAAAATTTCCAAATTCTTCTTATGAAGCCACTATAATTTTGATATCAAAGCCACACACTCAAACAACAGTTGAACACTAACATAATAAAGGCAATCTACAGCAAACAAGAGGACTTCCAAAAATTGTGAGTTATGATAGAAACAGCCAGATGTCTGGACAGTCACCAGAGGTTTCTCTGCAACATTGGGTTGGGGCATCATCTTCAGCCTACAGGCTTAGCATATCTGACAGATTCCTTTGTGAAGCAGGATGTACACAAGGCCTACAGCTCGATATCTGTATTATGTACATTAATACATATAATTGTGATGGGATGATCTTTCTGTAAGCTCTCAATATGTGTTGCTACCATTGATTAATAAAGAAGCTGCTATGGCCTATGGCAAGGTGGAATACGGCCAGGCAGGAAATCCAAGCAAAGATATGAGGAGATGAAAGGTGGAGTCAGAGGTGATGCTGATACCCTGCCTAGGAAGCAAGATGTAATGGGACACAGGTAAAGCCACAGAACATGTGGAGATACATAGATTAATAGAAATGGGTTGAGTTACTTTGTAAGAGCTAGTTAATAATGAGCCTGAGCCATAGACAAAACAGTTTGTAGTTGATATAAGCCTCTGAGTAATTTTATTTTATAAGCAGCTGTAGGACCATGGTTGGGAGAGATTCATCCTGACCACAGGGCTAGGCAGGACACCGAAAACCTCCGGATATATGTATATGTGTATATATATATATATATATATATATATATATATATCCTGAATATATAAAGAACTCAAAAGACAAAAGAATCAAACAAACAAAGCCAAATGACGCTTTCAAAAACAGGCCTGTGATCATCACAGTGTTCTCAAAAGAAGAAAAAGCAATGGCTAAAAAATATCTCAAAAAAAGTTCGTGAACGCTAGCAATTAAGAAAATGTGACTCCAAACAGGTTTGAGGTTTCATCTTACTCCATCAGAATATCAAAGACCACCACCACCACGAACAACAACAACAAAATGGCAACAAATCCTGGAGGGGTGTGAGAAAAAGTGAAACCTTTTGCAACTATAGTGGAAGTCAATGGGGAGAATTCTCAACAAATTCACTGAGTGACCCAGCCATACTATGACATGGCTTATGGCAAAATGTCCTGACACACTGTCTCACATATATTTGTTCAGCTATGTTCATTACTGATAGATTTTTAATAGTTAGTGAATGGAAGCAACCTAGAGGTACTTCAACTGATGAATGGATCATGAAAATTACTTACATGTACACTATAGAATACTGTTCAGCTGTGAAGAAAATTGAAATCATAAACTTTTCAATAAATGGCAAACTAGAAAAGATCATATTGAATGATGTAAGCCAAACCCAGAAAGACAAATGTCACAAATTCTCTCTTGTCAGAGACTCCTACCTTCAAATCTTCATATCCTAGAGTAATTGCAGAATCCAGTAAAGTAAATACAGACCATTGCCAGAGAAGTAAGGTGGGTGAGCAATGGAAAGATGAAAAGCAGGATACAGATGATCTGATGGAAAAAATGTCAAAAAAAGTAGAGCTCCTAGTAACATAGAGCTGAAAGACATAATTACAAGAGGGAGATTAAAATAAGAATATATGAGAAAGTCATAAGGAAAAATACAATTAAGTACCCACTTCTTAAAACTATAATCATATAAGTGTTCTATAATTCATATAATTCATGTATAAATGTACATATTAAATAAAATTTTCTCTACTATGTTGACAATGACTATCTAAGAAACACTAATATTAGGCAAGAGAAACACTCTTCTCAGTTGTTGGACTCCAAAACATTACAGACTACTGTTAATTACAGTTGGTTGTTCCCAACAGGTAGAAGATAAGTCTCTACTGCTGATGGAAGACTCCATGTACTTCACCACAGAGTCTGAAGGACCCAGAGATAGAGCTTTCCTGAAAGCTTCCTCACTGAGGACTAGCATTCGTGGTACCAGAAGTTGTCAGACAAGCTTCCAAGAAAGAGAATCAATCCACAGTCCTATTCAGCTATGATACCTATACAAAGGCAAAATGAAACATAATCTCTCACCTTCCTTTCTGAATACTTCAGTTTGATTGCCTAGGAGACTAGCAAAAAGAAATTGAATGCCATTTTATTGCTTAATAAGTGTAAAATGATTAACTTAGAGTACTAATATGAAAACACTAATTGAACATTGTTTGTTTTGCCCCTCTCTTGTGACCTTTGATATTTACCAAACTAGCTGCCAGTAGTGCACTGAATTTCAAAGTCACCCACAGTACCTTTAATGACAGGATTCCCAGGAGCACCACCACTGCTGGAGAGCTTTAGGTTTTAGAAGATGGGGTGGTCTAGAATGTTGCTCTTAGCCAAACTGTTTCTAACCTTATGGCTTTCTACTGCCAAAGGTGAAGGTAAGTGGAAACAGATTTGAAACAGGTACTTCCTAATCAAATGTATTTATCCGCTGCATGTGTATGAGAATATCTTCATTTATTTTAAATTTTATTTAAAAACATTGGAAATAGATAATAAACTATAAAATATTTTAAGTGAAAAATAGGAAACATATTGAATGATAAAAACTAATCGATTTGTAGATATAGTTCCGATAAACATTTAAAAGGAAAATGTAGTGGTATTTTCTCCACCTTGGGTTCTACGACCCAAAGGAAGCAGTGCTTCTTGCCATTGTAGGTGACTTCTTAAAAGGAAAGGGAGAGGGGTCTTGAGGCCCCTTCTCCCTTCTCCCTGCTTCCTGCTTCCTGGTGTAATCAGTGTGATCAAACTGGCAGGTGGATTTGCTTCCAGTCAAATCAGAGGACAACTTCAGCTGTCTACTTGGTTCTGTATTCATGAGTGTATTTCCTCAATTTATATCCTAATAAATTTCCCTAATACTCCTTAAGCAGACTCCCGTAGATTTCTTTCTTTAGGAAAATTGAATAAAAAGATTTTTCTTTGTTTTCTAAACTTCAAAGTGTGATTAGCCTCTAAGTATGATTTGGAGAAAATGAAAAAAAATTATTTTTAAATGCATAAATACTTTTCAAAATAAAATTCAACTTAAACAAAGCCACTGACCGGGACAAAGTTCCCACAGACTCTGAACATCTCAGGATCTCTGTGAGGTTGATTTCATCTTCACAGATTGAATATTTTAACTTCATAGTCATTAAAATGAGTCACGTTTTCGAGGTCAAACAATCAAATTATCATTCACCTAATGGAAATGTCTTTAATAAGACAAAGAAGACCACTGTTTTTTGTTTTGTTTTGTTTTTTGTTTTGTAAACCACCAAAATGCCAACACTTGGCTCTTTTCTGATCTTTCCAGTGAATGTAGAGAGTAGAAGGAGATTATAATACTTCCATATTAAGATTGTGTCTGGCCGGGCGTTGGTGGCGCACGCCTTTAATCCCAGCACTCGGGAGGCAGAGCCAGGCGGATCTCTGTGAGTTCGAGGCCAGCCTGGGCTACCAAGTGAGTTCCAGGAAAGGCGCAAAGCTACACAGAGAAACCCTGTCTCAAAAAAAACCAAAAAAAAAAAAAAAAAAAAAAAAAAAAGATTGTGTCTGAAGAGGATCCCCCAGGGTTCCACAACTCCACCACATCCACAGAACCACCAATGATGCCTTAAAGATGGAGTTGGATTCTGAAATTTAGTCAATGTGCTCGACTCTGGCTTCAGAAAGATTTTTTTCTACTATTTGCGTTTTGCTAATCTTTACATATGATTAAAGCTAGTTTACATAGTTCTTCATTTCTCACATAAGTTAAAAGGATGGGAACAGATTAGTTATTTTAATATTAAATTTTATTTATTTATTTTACATACCAACCACATTTCCCCTCCCACCTCTCCTCCTGTTCTCTTCTCTCACCTCCTTTCTCCACCCCTCATCCACTCCTTGGAAAGGGTAAGGCCTCCCATTGGAGTCAACAACACATCCTATACTAAGTTGAGGCAGGACTAAGTTCCTCCCCACTGCATGAAGGCTGAGCAAGGCATCCCACCACAGAGAACATGTTCAAAAAAAAAAAAGCCAGCTCCTGTGCCAGGAACTGATTCTGGTCCCACTGCTAGGGGACCCACAAACAGACCAAGCTACACAACTGTCACCCACATGTAGAGGGCCTAGGTCAGTCCCATTCAGGCTCCCTAGTCATAGGTCTAGAGTTGGTGAGCTCCTAGGAGCTCAGCTCAGCTGTCTCTAGGTTTCTCCATCATGATCTTGATCCCCCTGGCTAGTACAATTCCTCTGCTTCTCTTCAACAGGACTCCCGAAGGTTGGCCCAATGCTTGCCTGTGGATCTCTGCATCTGCTTCCCTCATTTACTGGATGAAGGCTCTATGATGAGAATTAGGATAGTCACCGATCTGATTGCAGGAGAAGGCCAGTTCAGGCACTCTCTCCACTATTTGTTAGGAGTCTTAGCTGGGATCATGGAACTAGAAAAAGTCATCTTGAGTGAAGTAACCCAGACACAGAAAGAAAAACATGGTGTGTAATCACTCATTAAGTGGACAGTAGATATAAAGAAAAGGATAACCAGGCTACAATCCATAGCCCTAGAGAAACTAGGTAACAAGAAGGACTCTAAGAGACAGACACATGGATTGCCCTAGGAAAGGGAAATAGTACAAAGCTCCTGAGTAAACGGGGAGCGGGGAGGAGTGGGGAGGGGAAGGGGATGGGAGCATGAGGGATCAGGATGGTTGAGTTGGGGGAGAGATGGAAAGGGAGAGCAATGAAAGTGACATCTTGACAGAGGAGGCTAGTATGGAGTTAGGGAGAAACCTGGTACCAGGATAATTATTTTTAAGATCCATCCTTACAAATTTTATAACATTATTTCACAGATTTAAACTCATTTTATTTTGTTACCACATTTCACTTTTAGTGGTAATCCTTAGAGAGCAGCCCCCCAATAAGAGAAAAATTCCATCCTGCCAAATGGCAGAAAATTTTGCTTTCATTATTTTTTTTACATTAAAAAATTTTAGGTTTATAATATATTTCTTCCTTCCCTTCCCTACCTACAAACCATCCCATATACACCTCTTTGTTCTCAAACTCCTGGCCTCTTTTATGACTAGTTGTTATTGCATACGTGTGTGTGTGTGTGTGTGTGTGTGTGTGTGTGTGTGTGTGTGTCCCTAAATGCAGCTAGCTCAGTTCATACTATTTTATTAGTAAATAGTGTGTGTCTGCTATTCTGTAGAGTCTGGATAATGACCTAGAATAGTCACACCTTTGATTTTGGATGAATACGTTTACTAAAAATGAAGCAAGTCAAAGAATAAGTAGCAAGTAAGAGGTTGACAAATGAATGAAAGATCAGCAGACAGAAAGACAGACAGAAAAAAATACTATTTCAGGCCCTTAAGATGTCCAACATTAATTCTCTAGGTTAGCTAATTTATGGCAGCCATCTGGGGACTTCCCCTCTGAGAGCCCTCTTGGATGATGCTTCTAAGTAAGAAAAAATAGTAACATGATCAAATCAGGTGCTCAGAACTTCCCACAGAAATTGGAAAAGTTGAAACAGTAAGCTGGAGTTTCCAACTGCCCACCCCATGGCTGATCTTTCTGTTGTTTTCTTTACTCTTCCTGGGAATCCAGGTGGGGAAGTCCAGCAGGTTACCTTAAAATGCTTACTCAGTTTCTGTGGGAAATCTGCAACCCAATTTCATGATGTTACCTCTCTGTGACATTTGTTTTTTAACTGGAATCCTCATGGCTGTGTTTTTTGGAAAGACACTTGGCTGCCATAAGAAAAAAAAAAAAAAAAAGCTTGCCTCATCTCTTTCTTCAGGTTATTCTGGACAGCCAATTTGACATATTTCTACCAGACATTTTTTTTCTGTGTATCATATATAAGATCTAGAGAGACATATATGAGATATGTAGATATAGATATGTATATAATCTACCTAACAATCCATCTCTTTCAATTTATTATTTTACTTTGGCTTATTGTATTCTTGGTGAGCGATGTTAGTCAAAGCAGAAGATACGGATCTCACATAAAATTTTCCAGACAGTACAGCACACCTGGTAAGCCTGAAGTGAAGGGCAGATGTTCAAAGACCATCATTGATCATCTACATCTTTAAACCTCATTGAGAGACAATGTTAAGAAGGAATTTATAAGAAGGGGAAAGAAGAGGAAGGAAAATGCCAATTGTGTGGATGATATAAGGACTTAGGATAATCCAGAAAAGGAAGGAGAAGGAGAATCAAGCCTCCTGGGGAAGAGTCAGTGACTCTCCATCCCAAGCTGCCTGAAGCCAAATACCTGTGTGAACTGCATTTTGTTTTGTTACCTGTCCACATATTGACCAAACAGCAAAGTCAACACACTAAAGTCATGTTTTTACATGAGCAGAAAACCTTACATTGTTTTAGCAGCGAAATACTTATTATGTATCAAGCTTCATTAAGCACCAAGAAAACTGCCAAGGAAATTTAATCCACAAGCAGGACACACTGTGGTATTAAAAGAGCAAAACACAAACAAGCAAATAGATTGCAAGGCAAATATGTATTTGTGTGTGAGTGTGAGTGTGTATGAGAGTGTGTGTGAGAGTGTGTGTGTGTGTGTGTGTGTGTGTGTGTGTGTGTGTGTGTGTGTGTGTCCTACACTAAAGATATTTGTAAATTTCTATCAGAATGTACAGGGAGAAAAATTATTTTCATTTTGGTAGTGGTTCAGTAAAAGAAGACAAGGGAGGTAAATGTTCACAGCCAGCAGCATCTCTGTTGGGTGAGTGGTGCAGAAAGGGTTTTGAAGGCACTTGGAATAGAGTTGGAGGACAGTAGTAATGTTATTTAGAAAAGACAAGAACATACACAAATAAGTGAATGCAAATAAAGTCCTGTCCATTTGGGAGACAGACAAAGGATATCTGAAACAAAGTAGTACCAGGATACACGGAGTTTTTACCATCAATATCTTCAAAAATACCTAACATAAAATATAACAGGTTAGCAACATCAGGTTCCACAAGGCTAACTAACACAAGAAAAACAATTGTAAATGTCATGTAACATTGAGAATTAACTCTCAGTAAATAAAAATAAAATGTTTCACTATTTGTGAGGATATTACTACAAAATATTGTCAAAATTCCCAGTATACACTATGTAGTCTGGGTAAAAATTAAATTGATAATGAGGGAAGCTGTGCAATGTGCATGTAAGAGCAGTATATGATTTTTGTGTTCTATAAAATTTCATGTGGACTAACTTTCCTAAAGCAGAAGTCTACAAATGTATACATGTAGAAAATTGTAAAATTCAATAAAAAGACCTAACAATTTACATGTTAATTGTTTTAATGTGTTTATGCCTTTATATGTATATATCACACATACACATACAATTATCCACATTATTCTTGGGAGAGATAGATAGATAGATAGATAGATAGATAGATAGATAGATGATAGATAGATAGATAGATAGATAGATAGATAGATAGATAGATAGATAGATAGATAGATAACCTAATGTCACCAGAATTTAGTTGCATTTTTATCTTATTGGATTGGTCTTTCTGATTCTTTGTGCCTTGCTATTTTTAATGAAACTACATTTATTGAGAAAACTAACAAAATAAAAATTATGTTTCTGTATATATCATACTAAACTAAATACTCAGCATGTTTACCACTCCCTTGAGACAAACACCAGAGAAAATCCTGGTAGATATATCAATGACCTCAGTGTGAGGAATGAGGGAGGATGTTAAAGCAGAGTCCTCTCATCCAGCCACTACTCACTGTGCAGTCAGGGATCTGTGTTAGCATCCTGTGTCAGTTTTTAAAAAGTCCTGTTGGGGTATCTTTCTGAATATTGCCAAAAACTTTATAATTCATATCAAGCCAAACTATGAACTTCATATTTATTAATAATAGCATCCTCAAATATCCACATACTCAAGAGTGCTGGCTAATTAAACACAGTAGTGGATTTCATAGAGGAATTTTTATTCTTATTTATGGGATACTTGAAGGTCAGTCTATTCTTTGATAATCAAATGATATACCAGAAAGCACTTAAACTGTATCCACTGAAGCCAGATGAAAAGAAAAATGATCATCAAATAAAAAATGTATAATTGATGATTCTCAGTGGTGATTAGTATTTACTTCTTTACTTTTGTTTTATTTTTCCAAGTGAGATATTGTGATTTCCCCAAAATAAGCCATGGGATACTACATGATGAAAAGAAATATGAAGCATTTTCCCCTGTTCTTAGTGGGAATGTTTTCTACTACTCCTGTGAATATAATTTTGTGTCTCCTACAAATTCCTTCTGGACCCGCATAACGTGCACAGACGCAGGATGGTCACCAACACCAAAGTGTCTCAGTGAGTAAATGCCCATCCTTAGATGAACACTGAATGAGAAAAACTATGCTTCTTATTTACATGAACCCTGTAAGAGGGGCTCATGGGGTTTGAAAAGTCACAGTATTGGGCTGTGGAAGGGGCAGGCGCAGTCTTTATTTTTTGTGCTATTTTTCTTATGAAAATACAATGTGGAACATATGACCAACATGTGATCTACAAAAGAAAATTACTAACTGAAAGCTGAAGATGAATGTATTTGACAACTAACAGATATTGTCAAACATCTACTTAATAGCATTCTATCCATTCTTTTTATGTGCAAAAAAAGTCATTTCATATAACCACTGTGTTTGAATTATGTTTTCTCTCAAATATTCCATGGAAAGATGTTTTACTTTTGTATTTTCCAAAATTCACTACATCCTTGGACTTGTTATCTATAATACATTGACCCTATTTCCTATCAGTGAATGATAGGAAACTGGATAGATAAATCAGTGAAGCAGGTAGCAAGAGTCATCCCTTCTTGAAGAAGCATTCAGAAATAAAAGAAACCATGTATATGAAAAATACTATTTCATATAGAGAAATTTGTAAGTGGAAAAATACTTAATTTGAAAAACTATTTCCAAAGTGGAGACATGAAATCCCTGGGAAAAATTCACATCGTAGACCAACTTAAGTTGGCAAGCTTCAGAAAATATTTGTATAGTTGGTTTCAGTTGTCTTTCTTTTAAAAATGTTTAAATATGCAATCTAACTTTCTATTAACTTTTCCCATCTTGTGAATTAATCTTTTTTTCTTCTGAAGGGCTATGTTTCTTTCCTTTTGTGGAAAATGGTAATTCTACATCTTCAGGACAAACACACTTACAAGGTGATATTGTACAAGTTGTTTGCAATGAAGGCTACAGCCTTCAAAATAATCAGAACACCATCGAGTGTACTGAAGAGGGCTGGTCCATTCCTCCCAAATGTGTATCCACCAGTAAGTACAACACTGTGCTCTCAGATCCTGCCATGACATGATCTGCGATGTTTAAAATCAACAATACTGTTACAGGTTAAATACAGGTCTTTCTACTGACTTTTATCACTTGTCATTTCTATTTGAGTCACAGCTGTGTCTAAAGTGGTATCTAAATATACTGGTTTATGTGCCTAATTCAAGTGGATGTCATAAGTAGAAATATTATGTGAGTACACTCTGAAGACAGAATGCTCATGATAAAACAAAACCATTTTCTGTCTGCAAAACCATGATTCATAGGAATACAAGAAATGGTTAAAGAGATAAAAAAAAAAGACCTAAAATGAGTTATAAACATGAACTGTAATTTGCACATTTTTAATCCCAAAATACTTTGAGGAAATGCTAATGAAAGTATTATATTTTAAATTGATGACAATATTGGCAAGGATTTCCTGGCATTATTAACAGCATTGTAAATTATGTACCTTTGAAAGTGAATGTTAGTGTCTTGCCACTAACTGAATATATTATTTTGATTTAAAGATTCTATATTCTGCAAGCCTAATGAAAACATGCCTAAACTATTCCTATAGTTAAACCTAATATAGAGTATTAGTTGAAGCCCAGGATGACCTGAAACTCATTTATGTAGCCCATCTTGTCCTTGAAATCAATGAAGATCATTTTGTCTTAGCCTCCAGAATGCTGGGATGTCAGACAAGAATTGCCATTCCTAGCTGCAAATATCTTTCAAGTAACTCTTCATTATAATAAACTCTTTGAATAGTGTTGTGAGTTGCATAAAATAATACGATACCTTGAATTACATTTATCAAACATAGCAAAGTGATCACCAGTGCAAACATGTAGTCTATGTTCAGAAATACGTGCCTGTATGTAGCTACAAATGACAGCCTCTCCAAAGTTCTGAGGAGTCTGAAAAGAAATGTTAATCCTTTTTAGGAGAATTAAACACCCACTCCACTTGAACCCAGCATTCTTTTGGGTAGACTTAGTGATCCTTCAGTCTCACTTGTCCACACACACGTCTTTACAGTCTGTGCTTCAGTGTGTGATGGGTCATCAGTAATCAGAATTTGTTTCTTCTAGATTTTCCATTTTATTATCATCAAATGGTTCATAGTTGTCTTCCCTGGAGCAAAGGGTACAGATTTTAAGAATTTACCCCACATGAGCTCTGAGACAGCATGCCTCTTCCCCCATTGCCTGGTTATCTTGATCTGTGAAGAGGTTACTGGAATCCTCACCAACAGGGGCTTCTGTAACTGTCTCATTCACACTTTCTCCTCTGGTGGAGAGTCTACTACCCAGTAAAGCACTGTTACAGTGTACTGTGTTGTAGTCTACAGTCCCTTGCACGTAATATTACAGGTCTCTTTCTCCTGTAGTGTTTCTATCTCTTTGATGATTTCACAGAACCTGGTTCTAGGCTTTGGAGTAAGAGGCTAGTATGAAGTGTCTCCATTTAGTCTTTTTATCCTTTTTTTTTAATGCTCGTTTTTATTGTTAGATACAGTATCATGTGTGAAGAGCTTTTGGACCTTTTTGGAAATACTAAGTATGCATAGATATCTTTAAATGTTCCATCAGTTTTAACATTACTTTTGGCCCTCTAGTTATAAAAGATACTCTTGCAATTATAAACTTAAAACTACCACCGGGTTCCTTCTTTTGTATTTTTATTTTTGATAGAACATAAAGTATGTGGAGGACAAAAAGGTTTCAAAACAGAGCAAAATCAAAATTTCCAAAGCCTTTGTTCTTTCAGTTTAAATACCATATATGTTCAAAATGAAAATGAGAGGCTGGGGATGGACCAGCATTTAAGGATGCTGAGTGCTCTTAAAGAGGACTGTGGTTTTCTGCACCCATGTGCCAGCTCACAACCCTCTGTACCTCCAGTTCTGGATTTTCCAGTGCCATCTTCTTACATCTCAGGATGCCATGTGTGCAGGTGGTGCACACATACACATTTTGGAGAACAGTGCTGCACATAACAAAACAAAATTAAATGTAATGATTTTCAACCATTACCAAAAAAGACAGCAGCCAGGTTTGATTACACTGGGTATGTTTATAAACATCAGCTGATAAAGTTTATTGGAGGATATAAACGAATTTCTAAATACTCTTATTAAATAAAAAACACAGAGCCAAATATAGAGGTGAAAGCCTTAGCGAGATCAGGGAAGTAGGGAAAGCCACCAGCCAACCTTACCTCACCAACTCTACAGCTTCCAAATGCTGTGACTTCCTGTCTACCCACACCTATATGTCTTGCTGTTCTGCCATCTCATTTGCTCTCTCCATTCAGCTACACCACTTCCTCTTCCTACACAGCCCTGTCACTTCCTGTCTGTCTGTACATATCTCCAGACCTCCATGGTTAACTAGTTTTGGAATTTAAGGCATGTGCCACCACACCTGGCTCTGTTTCCAATGATGCCTTGAACACATAGAGATCCTGCCTGCAAGTGATGGGATCAAGGGCATGTGCTACCACTGCCTGACTTCTTTGTTTACTTATAATGGCTGGCCTTTTTCCTCTGATCTCCAGGCAAGCTTTATTTACTAAAGCACAAATGAAATATCACCACATTTCAGCACAAATAAAATATCACCACAGGAGGAAAACAAGAAAGTATTTTTTTTTTCTAGCATTAGAACTCTTACAAAATGGTATATCATTTCCCTGGTGCGAGTGGATTTCTTTATCTGACTACCATGACAAGTCACTACAGATTTGGAGGACTAAAACAGTATAAATCCATTCCCTTATGATTTTGAAGACCAGAGATTCAAGGTAGTGTCTCTGGGCTGAAGTCAAAGTGCTGGCCTCCCTGTTTTGTTTTGTTTTGTTTTGTTTTTATTTTCTCTGAGAGGGGTTTCTATCCATCTGCCTTTTTAGTAGCAAGATTTTACTTGTTTTGTTTGGTGAGGGATATCCTCCTTCAATTTAGAACTCAGTAGTTTGTCATATATGAACATTTCCACCTCATTATCCCTACCTCCACCATTGCATTGTATTGTCATAGCAGATCATCTAAGATAACCCCTGTCTCAAAATCCTTAATCACAATTCTAAAGTTACTTTGACTTATAAAGTAATAATCTTCAGTCTGGAAGCATAAAATATAGCTTCAGGTGGGGGATATCATTAAACCTATCAAAGTAATTAACATTAAAATAGACAGCTTGCAATTACTTTTAAAATATTTTAATTGACAATAGCTTTATTTCCATACAATGTACGAATTCCCCTTTCCCTATCTTCTCCAAGATCCTCCCTATCTCCCCTCATCATAAACCTACACCTTCTCTCTCTCTCTCTCTCTCTCTCTCTCTCTCTCTCTCTCTCTCTCTCTCAAACAAACAGCATCTAAAAATATGAATAGGATAAAATAAAAACAATATGGAATAGAATAAAACAAAACAAGCAAATGGAAGAAAAAGAGGCAAGGGAAAATGAAAAGAAACATATCTAGGCATAGAAACACAGAAGTCCACACACAGAGAAATCTCATAAACACAAAATTGGAAACCATAACATACAAAGGACTTGCAACATGCAAACTGTAACACTACATGCAAAGGACTTGCAAATTTCATTTTTAAAAAAGGCTGCAAGAACGCCATTGAATTTGTTTTGTGCTACGCATGGAACATGTCATTATGCATGGTTTGTATACCAAGTGAAACAACCTTGGAGAAAACTAATGTTTTTCTGTTGTACACTGTAATCAATTGCAGATAGCTTCAGGGTTTGTGTCCACTTCCCTCTCAGGGTTGGACTACATCTACCTTAGACCTGTGCATGCTCTACACATAATGTCACAGACTTTATGAGTGCATTTATCCAAGTGTGTTTAGAAGTCCTTGTTCCCCTGGTGTCCTTCATCTCCTCTGGCTCTTATAGTATTTCAGCCTGGTCTGGCTCAGGGAAGATACTTGGGCTAGTTACCTGTTTGTTATAGTAAGTGAATCGATAACTAGTGTATATCCTATAACAGAATCACACATTTTATCTATTGTTTTTATAGAATTATGTGGTACTATATAAAATGAATAAAATAAGTGAAACCTATTTAAAAATAAAATATGTTAACAAATATGCATACCTATATGAAGTTGTTTTAATCTATTCAGTTGTACCTTTCGGCTACTTCAAAGAGATCATTTCTCCTGTGATTTCACTCTCTTTCCTTAAAAAAAGAATTAGATAAAAGAAGGAAGAATATAGAAGGAAGGGTGAAGGATGAAAAATAGCTAGAGAGGTATCTTCAGCTCCATGTTATAAATAAGATGTTCGCACAGTTTTCTTTGCCATTTAAATTATCTGTGTTCTATAGCTGGTTTATATAATGTTCATAAAACTGGGTATGGTGAACACACCCACAGTGCTGTTTGAGAGAACACCTTAAAACTAATGTTTTAGTCCATAATTTGATGAAATAGACAATAAACAAGTATAGGTCATCACGATTCATACATAGGTGTGAGAAATAGCTGAGGTGGTGGGCTTTGGTTTTAGGAAACAAAAGAATAGCAATTGGTGCCTGATTTTTACAATCTCAGGGGAAAAAACTGTATCTTGTATAATTTAAGGAAATTGATTTAAAGGGAATGAGAGGAAAAGAAGTAACCTTGGTTTTTAGTTAAACAGGGAGACTTTCTTTCCTCCGTTAAGGATTTCCTCCAGTCTGCACCAACACTTGTCATCTCATGCGATGGTGGATACTGGTTGTCATCAGGAATCACCCTTTAGACAGGCTTCTGGGAATGTCTGTGAGCATTGACTAGACTGAGTGGACTAAACTGGGTTAACTAGACTGGGTTAACTGCAGTGGGAAGACACACGCTACACTGGGCAACATCATTCCATGGGCTGAGAACTCTGACTCACAGGAAGGGAGTGAGCTGATTATCAACAGTATTCTTTCTCTGCCTCTTGACTGCAAACACAGCTGACCAGATGCTTCATGCTCTCACCACCATGACTTCCAGAGCATAACGACTGTGCCCCCAGATTGTGAGCCAAAATCAAAGAGTTGAAAACATTTCCTTTCAGGAGTTCCTTTTGCCAGGTGCTATCATAGCCACAATATCAGTTATCAATATATTCTGTGCTGCTCACCTAAGGTAAAATTTCATTTAACTAATTTTATCTTCTTTTGATGTTTTTCTTCTCAGAGTTTCTTCATAAATAAGTATAGTATATTTTCTCAGTTTATATGATTGAACTTTATTCAAGCAATCATTTCTGTAGCCAGAAATCACTAAAGTCTTGATATTGTGTTTAGCACTGTACTTTCATTGGTTCTGTTTAAGTCTGTACTTTGATTTGATCTCTGAAACATTCAAATGCTGTGTTCTTAAATTCAGCAGGGAAATGTGGGCCTCCTCCACCTATTGACAATGGAGACATCACCTCCTTCCCATTGCCACAATACCCACCATCATCATCAATTGAATATCAGTGCCAGTCCCTTTATAAAATGGAGGGCAGTAAGAATATAACATGTAGAAATGGAGAGTGGTCAGACCCACCAAAGTGTTTACGTAAGTATTTCATTCTCATAGACAGTGGGAAAGTCAGTTTCATAACTGAGATATTTTTCTCTTTATAATAACACATTCACACATTATAATTACTATTTTATGGAGTGCATGATTGCCAAATATCAGCATTTGAAAAAAGCAATATTATTATTTTTTTATATAAAAATAGTTGAAAAATTACATGTTATTCATCATTTAGCTTTTATTAACATGTATTGTTGTCCATAAAACTGCACGCCAGCATACTATTTCCATACCTGTATACACTTTGCTGTAACTAAAGCCAGGATCTCTTATACACCCTCCCCTTCCTTTAGACATGTCACCTAATTCTACTAATCACTGTCAGACGGTCAAGAGGAATTTTAGCTTTTCTTTCCACTTTGTGAGAAAAGACACAAAAGACTTGTCTTCCCGTGTTTGATTAACTTCACGTATGTCCTCCAAACTCTGTCACTGTGCCTTCCCACTCATGCCACTCACACTCTACTACTCACTGTCACATGATCAGGAGGACTTTTCCTTTCTAATTTTCACTGTAAAAGAGAAAACATGAGACTCATCTTCCTCTCTTTGGCTCATTACACTTAATGTCCTCCATGGCCATTTTCTCACTCACATAATAAAAAATTATCTATGATGTCTGAACAATATTTCATCATATAAACATATTGTCTTTGCCATTTGGAATGATCAGGATTTTTCTGCTATTGACATTTTCAGTCCTATTTTTATTTAACTTGCACAGCTTTTAAATTTCAAATTTTTCTGTCTCAATCTGTTTCCAACTCTATCTTGTCTATAAATGTTTTCATTCATTTTTCCATTACCTTTCTTATTTCCTTTAATAGTTTTTATGTTCTGTTGAAAACCATTGCTTTTTACAAAATGGTTCAATTAAATCCTTCATATGACCTTTATCCATGTCAGTCTATTTGGAGTTTATTATAACACGAATTGCTAAATGGTCTTTTAATAAAAAACCTGGAACCAGGTATTGGGGGTAAATGCTAAAAGATCAGAGAGACAAAGGAACAAGCCGCCTCTTACCTCTAGTACTCCTCAGTCTGAAAAGCTTTCCTCTGCTGAAAGACTTTAGTTCCTGTCTCCTCATACCTTATATACCTTTCTCTACCCAGCCATGTCATTGCCTGTCTCAATCTTTCTAGTGTTGGGATTAAAGACATATGACTCCCAAGTACTAGGATTAAAGGTGTATACCACTACTGTCTGGCTCTGTTTCTCTTCTTGACTGAGTCAATCTCATGTAGTCCAGGATAGCTCTGAACTGACAGAGATCCATATGGATCTCTGCCTCCTGAGTGCTAGGATTAAGAGTGTGTGCCATCACTGCCTGACCTCTATGTCTAATCTAGTGGCTGGCTCTGTCCTCTGATCCTTAAGCAAGTTTATTAGGGTAAACAATATATCACCACATTTCCCCTTTTTTGTCTAAAATAATAAAAGAAGGGTATAACTAATATAATAAAAACTATATTCAATAAGTACAATAAGTATATACAATATATACAGTCAAGAATTATATTAATAATGTCTAGTCCATTAACATTTGACAGATTCAGAGAAAGTTCTCCATATTTTATCCTATTTTGGTGAGTCCAAAGTGTTGTACCTAATTCACTTTCTACTCTAACTTGTATTACCAACTCAAAAACTATCTTTTGATGTTTTTTAAACTTACACACTCTACACCTCTCTAGTGAGTTTTTTTTCTGAATTTGTTAACAAGGAAAACTATAACTGTCTACTCTTCAACTAACAAGGAAAATTGTAACTATAATTATCTAATCTTCAAATCCTTCAGAAACACAAGAAGGAAATAATATTACCTGAGTAAACAGGAAGTGCAAGCAAGTGACTTACAAAAAATGTGAGAAATGACATAAACAGCTGGCTGCCTGGACAGTCACCTAATAAGTAGAAATAAATAAATTAGAATAAATTGAATAAATTAGAAATGTATGTACAGTATGTTCTAACAAAATTAATCTCAACTTTGTATCAATATACAAAATTTATATACATTATACAAAAACCAATCCAATGTAAAATATTTAAAACTAGTAGCTGCTTTTTAAAAGTAGATTCAATTATCTATCTTTTTATCTTGTCATATCCAATATCCTCCCTTTTTTCTTTTCAGAGTAGATTCAATAATCTACCCTTTCATCCTATTATTTCTAGTTCTCTCTTTTTTTTCAAGGTAGATTCAATAATCTATGTCTTATCTATATCCTCTTTTTTTCTGAGTAGATTCAGTAATCTACCCTTTTATCTAGTCAGCTCTTACACAGCCTTGAGGATATCTATGACTGTGTAGTTCCTGTAATGTTACTGCATAGATTAACATTGACTGTTTTAAAGCCTTCAGTTGTTTCTCTGTAATGTTATAATGCAATGTTGAGATTGGTTCTATTTAAATTTTTCTGCTGGGTCTGAATATATCTATGATCTGTTTTAACAAGTTTTTCTAAAACTTTTATCTTGGCACTCATATTAACCAACTTTTTAATGCTATAACAAAAATGATCAAACAAATAATACCTATAATTGGCATTACATAAATCCCATTAACATTAAATATCCTCTGATTTAATTGTTCCATTTTCAGACCAAATGTCTTCCATTATAGTAATGTTTCCCATTTTTTAATGTGGGAAAAAACTTTTCTTTAACTAATTCCTCCCTTTAAGAAATCTTTATTGACTCACCAAATCTGCTGACTGTGATGATTCAGATGATGATGTGGCAGCAGCCCGATGATGATGATGTGGCAGCAGCCTGAGGAGGGCTCTCAGAGAAAGCTATGACCCACCAATAGAGGGGAGAAGGGGGTATGTGCAATAACAGCTAATTCCAGCGTGTTTGGATCCTGGGCCTGGAGAATTTGCTGCAGACAGGCTGCAACAAAAACTTAGCCAGACGGTTAGGCAGTTGAGCTTAGGTGGGGTAGAAATTCTAGCCTCCTGTAGCTAGGGCCTGAACAGGGGACTACAAGCATGAGCCCCGTTCCCTGGCAGTGAGCCTGTGGTCCCGGTTTCCCTGCTCGTGGGTGCCCAGTTGCTTATAGAGTTTTGTGTTTTTGTTTTTTTGTTTTGGTTGCCTTTTCCCACATACCCTCCCATCCCGGGCTACTGGTCTCGGGATCCTTGGCAGGGAGGATGCTGGGTATCCGACTTTCCATCATGTCCATCTCGCTCTCCTGGTCCTCTTACGGTTATGAGGTCGACCAGCTGTTCCTTTGAGGTTCCGTTCTCTTTTTCCTGAATTCGTGCTCCATAAATTGTATGCCAGATGTAACACAAAATCTAAATGGTCTTTTAATAAAAATCCCAGAAGCAGATTTTGGAGTAAATGCTGAAAGACCAGAGAAGCAAAGGAACAAGCCACCTCTTATCTCTAGGACTCCTCAGTCTGAACAGCTTTTTCAGCTAAAAGATTTTATTTCCTGTCTCCTCATGACTTGCATACCTTTCTCTGTCCAGCCATGTCATTTCCTGTCTCAGTCTACTTAGTGTTGGATTTAAAGGTGTGTGCCACCACTGCCTGACCTCTACATTTAATCTAGTGGCTTGTTCTGTTCTTTAATCTTCAGGTAAATTTTATTAGGGTACAGAATATAATCATCACAGTTTATTACTGGAGAAGTAATGGACCTTTGGAGGAGTCTTGTTAGTCTTACTAGATTCAATTTTTTTTGTTTGTTTTTCGAGATAGGGTTTCTCTGTGTAGCTTTGCGCTCAATTTTTAAAAGCAATTGGAAAATACATGATACAATAATCACTATTCATAGTTACCATTTTGTGACTGAACGATGAATATTATGAGGGCAATTATGACTTGTCTTTCTAATCACAGTAATTTAAAATATGGTAATCTCACTGAACATTAGATATGAATATCAAAAACATGTCAAAGTTAAAATTCTGTATCTTTACCCAATACATCGATCAATAAAAACAACCATGAAAATGTTAAAATACAAGTGTCTTTTTTCATTGATGTTAGGAAACTTTAATGATGAAATCTGATTTCACATTTAAATGTATTATTTTGACATCATTTAAAATTCAGTATTTCCTAATTCTGTATGTTGGTTTTATGCAGGTTTTCCAAATACAGAATTAATGCTTGATGGCTCAGTTCTGTACATGTATGAGTTATTTAATAATATTTTGGTGTTTTTTTCAGATGCATGTGTAACATCAGAAGAAATTATGGAAAAACATAATATAACTCTCAAATGGAGAGAATTTGGAAAGATTTATATCCAATCAGGAGACTATGTTGAATTTAAGTGCAAATTTAGACATAAACCGGCAAAAACATCACCTCCATTACGTACAATGTGCATTGATGGTCACATCGATTATCCCACTTGCTCAAAAAAACGTTCTTGGTTCAGTGGATGAATGAACCTTTGTTTAGAAATATGCATGCATATTATTAATACAGTTTCACTTTATGTTTGAAGTATTGTATAACTCACTTCTTCTCATAAGTATAAACTTGTGCTGATGTATGGTAATTAATTTGGAGCCTAAGAGAACACTGCCACAAATGCAAAGCAGTGCATTTAAAGTAGAATGGGCTGTGTGCTAGCACAGTAACTAATGGTAATAAAATAGATGCAATCACTTCAGTGTCTGTTTCTATCCATCACTTTTCAAAATCTCTCCAATCTTCCTCAGTACCTTTGGATCTAACTCTGATTCACAATAAACTGAAGTCATATTGTCTCAGTCTCCAAATTAGTATTATTTCACAAACATATAACAATCAAGCTCTCATATTTAACATTGCTAATGAATATAAATAATTCCAATGTGATCTTTTTTCACTCATATTAAATAGCCTTCCCTTAATTACTTCTGGCTTAAAAAAAAAAGTTTACCTTTTCAAAATGTTGAAATCTAAAAGATAAAAGTGTAGGTGTCAAAACACAGCAGATATCTTGAAACCTTCTATTATGTAAGACCAGTTATTCAAAGGTCACGGAAATGTTTTACTATTACTAGTAAAAATAATTTTAAAAGTAATTGTGTTTAACTTTGTTACCAGTGAAGATAGTTGTCTATCAGCATCACTGTAACAAATTGCCATAAACTGGATGCGCTGACTTAAAAGGCACTCATGTCATGAAGTTCTAGAGAACAACATTTCTAAGATGATGGCACAAAATTTAGTACCTGACCAGGGCTTTCTTTGTCTTTCATAAGTGCCACTACCTGGCAGCATTTGGCAAGGAAATGCTCTGTAGTTTCCTTTTTAATGAAACTGACTCCATTAGTGAGGAAAATCTTCCTGACACAATCACCTGGAAAACCCCATTTTTGGTATCTTTATGAAGGTGATATGGAAGCAGCATGTAATCTTTAGGGAGAAACCATTTTAAGACTATAACAAAGGAATGGTAAAGCCATTCCATGGAGATGGAAACTAAAAAACAGCATGATGGCTAGTCACATCAGACAAAACAGAACTTAAAACAAAAACAAAAAAAGAAAAATTACGGTCATTGTATAATGATAAAGTCATTACAATTTTATTATAATATATATATTAGGTATGTGTGTAACTTATTTCACATAAGAAACATATTTATAGACCTGAAGAAGAAATACATTTATGTACATCAACAATTGAGGTCTTCTACAACCTTCTTTTAAATGTGGATTAACCAGACAGACAGAAGCACAATATACAACAACACTAGACTTGAATGATATGTTATACATATTGTCTTGATCTTCAGAATTACATTGGTTCACAAACATGTAAAATCAAACCGACACACTTCACATTACCAATGAGCATAAGTAATTGGATCTGTGAGAGACATGCATAGAGTGCTACCCACAAGAGTGGTGCACACATCAAAGGCATGTAAAACATTCTCCAGGATACATCACATGCTACACAAGGAAACCCAATTTTAAAATCTAATTGAGTGTTTACTCTCACCTCCTCACAATGCTACTCCCTGCCATCTGAAGATCAGCATGCGGAGCCTTTGGAGCCGTGTGCATGTCCCACAGATAGCATTTCACAACCCTGGGACTCCAAGCCCTGATTGCATAAGGACTTGCATTTGACTGTCAGGTACACTACAAAGGAACACTCTGCTCCCCCCACCTCCTATCAGCTGGGAAACTAACAGTGTCATCTGAAGTCCTGTGCTGTCTGCATGCCTGTGTGCCCTACTGGTCAGCCACACCCTATCCCTTCTTACCTGTACTTCTAAGGAAATATATTGACAACCTTCTTCTTTGTTTTTAATGGGAAAAAATTTATTCAATATGTTCTGATCAGTTTTCTCTACCCCAACTTCTTTCAGATACTCAAACCACCGTCATCCACCCAATCCACATTCTTTCTTTCTCTTTCTTTTTATAAAGCAAACAAACTGGCCAAAAGAAAAAAAAACATACAAAAAAAATAAGCCAAAGAAAGAGAGAGAGAAAAGAAACATAAGAAACCCATGCACATACACAAACAGAAACCATAAAGACACAATTTTAAAAACCACACTGTAAAGGCAAAAGACCAGTAAGACAAAGAAGTGCCTCCAAAAAAGAAATCTGAGGTTAAAGTCTATAGAAATAGCATTGAATTTGTTTTCTGTTGGACATCTAATTCTGAGCATGGGGCCTACCTATCAGTGAGGCTAATGATGAGCTCTAGCAGGCCCAAGTGTGGCAAAGATGGCACCAACAGGTCTTGCCCTCTCCCTCTCCTTTGCTAAACCAGTAGGTAACATTCCTAATGCTAGCCTCCATAATCTATTTGGCCACGTTCTTATGCCTGACTCATCCCTGAAGCTGATCACGAAGATCCAATTATCAAAACATCAACCAGCAACCAAAAATTCCCATTTGGCTACCTCAATTAACATGTCCAATCAGAACTTACCAACCCATCCTAGCTCATTCTGATACTGACTGCCCATTTTTCCCTCTCAAAATTAAGACCTGAAAAGCTATTTGCTTCTGTTCCTTCCAGATTCAGATTCAACCACCTTGGATTACTTTGTGTTGGAAATTGGTGTTTGAGTGTGGGCTATGCCTATTCCTGGGTCCAGAGGGGAGCACCCTGTGATCTGTGGGTCTCTTCAGTTAACATACTTAAAGAGACATCAATGGGGAGACTAATTTTTTTTGCAAGCAGGTGTCAATTATGGATAGTTTCATGGTTAGAAGTGGGAGCCCATGTCCACTTCCCTTTCTCAGCACTGAAATGACACTTTAGGACATTTTGCTATACTTATAGTTCAGATCTTTGCTCAGCCATAATCAAAGAAGCTTCCTCTTACAATAGATGGGAAGTAAAACAGAGGTCTACAACTAGAAAAAAATGCAGAGTCTGAGAAATTTGGAAACATGAAGTCCTCAGTGGGATGTCTTCATCAAACCACTCCTCTCACTGTCCAGCGCACTATGCAGAAGAGGAGGCAGGAAGAGTCGGAAGGGACTGATGATATCAAAGGAACAGTGTCCTTCTGCCACAACAGAATCGATTCACATAGGAATGTACTGAGACTTTAGCATCATACACAGCATCTGCACAGATTCAAGCTGGACAGGATCCTAGTGACAACCTTCTTGCTCCAGTCCCATTGCAAAAGTAAAAATATCAGGTAAAACCGAGATGATGTGTATCTTCTAAAATTAGTACTCCCGTGATAATGTTCATTGAAAAAACAAATTAGATGACACAAAAACAATGAACTCAAATTAGCAATTTTAGGGGCTGGAGAGATGGGTCAGTAGCATATACTGCTCTTTCAGAGGAACAGAACTTTTTCAGAGCACTCACCTAAGAAGGCTCAAAACCACCTGTCCCTCCTGCTCCAGGTGATCTCATGCCTTTCTCAGGACCCCATGTGCACATAAATCAAACACACACACACAAACATACACACATAGAGAGAGAGAAAGAGGGGGCTAGGGAGAGGTGTGTGAGTGGGTGTGTGAGTGTTGATGTAACCAACCGTCTTATTAAATAAGAAACACAGAACCAATGAAAAAGAGAGAGCCGAGAGGTCAGAGCTCAGAGCTAAAATCTTACCCTTCCTCCTGCGAGCTCCTAGCTTCCCAAAAGAGAGCTATTTCCTGTGTGTCTGTCTTTTCATAGTCTTTTGTTCTGCCTTCTCATTGGTTGTAAACCCAAACACGTGACTGTCTCGTCACTGTCTGTATGTACAGCCCCCCAGGTCTTAAAGGCATATGTCTCCAATGCTGCCTGTATCCCTGAACACACAGAGATATATGGGATTAAAGGCATGTGCCACCACCGCCACACTCTGTCTATGGCTCTAATAGCTCTGACCCCTGGGCAACTTTATTTATTAACATACAATTAAAATCACATTTCAGTACAATTAGAATACCACACATAAAATACATATTTTAAGAAGTAACATTTCTAAATATGTTAGAGGAATTCAAAGAGGATATGACTAAACATTGGAATGAAGACCAAGAAAACAGAAACCAACTGTTGGATGAAATAAGTAATACAATTCAGGATCTGGAAATAAAACTCAATCTTGAAGAAAAAAAAAAAACCTCAAAATGAAACTTGAAATGAAAATGGCAGTATGTCTGACGGAAAGCTGAATGGATCCAGTGGAGGGGACATTATCAGGGCTTGAATACAAGATGGAAGAATTGGAGCACTCTGAGAAATAAAGTGGTAAGTCTAAATAAAATCTTTGAAACTGAGCATTTAGGAACTCTGGGGTGTTGTGAAAAGAAATAATCTATGAAACAGAGACACAGGAGAAGAAATTCAGATGAAAGACACAAAATATTCAAGGGAAAGAAATCCATGTCCAGGTGCAGAAGACATACAGAACAACAAATATGAATTCCCAGGAAAAAAATCCACAATGTCACCTAGTACAAAACACAAAATCCACATAACAAAGAAAGAATAGGTGAATGCTGCAAAATGTTTTCATTACAAGGATGTAACTGAAAGACCCTAACCCTTCAGGCTTACACCCCCGCAAGCCCCAGGAAAATAAGGAACTAAAAAGAAAACTAGTTCCAAGGGCAAGCTGACTCAATCATTATTCAACCACCCCTGTAACAATGTAAAAAGATTTCTGTTAAGAGATGTACTCAACTGTGACTGGGATAGTTGCAAGTGTTCCAGGAAGGACCACTGTGACCTTTGTGTAAACTCCACTCCCATCCTGATACCCCTCTTGAGGTTTCAGGAAGAATGTACATGCGGACACAACTGTACCCACTCTGTGATCAGACCATGATCATGTGCAACCAAATTGTATGGGAATTGTAATCTTATGGCATTTGTGGGTTTTTCCTTTAAAAACCCCCATATGGCTGCAGTAAGATGCGACTCTTGCTCCCAGGAAAGAGTTTGCCCAACTGTACAGAAGAATCAATAAAAACCTCGTGCTGTTGCATCAACTGGACTGGAGTCTGGGTTCTTGGGGCGCCCACTTGAGACCCTAAACTTTGGGGTCTAGCAGTAATGTTGTCCCAATGTATGCAAATATATGAATACATTGCAGTTGCTAACAGAATCAAGAATGAAAACCATGTGGTCATGTCAATGGATACAGAAAAGCATGCTAACAAAACTTGAAGAAACAGGAGCAAGAGGCTCAGTTCAACAAAATAATGGTCATACAAGACAAACAGCCAACATTAAACTGAATAAGGGACAATGAATTATTTTTTTCTGACATTCTGAGACAAGGATGCCCAC